CTTCCTATTTAACGGCAGACTACAATATCAAATGTATTAGTATTTATGTTGGCTTCCCCTTGAAATCAATGAAATGAGGCGATATACACACTACAAGTGTTCAAGTGTGTACTTCTTAAAAATATAATGCTTCTACAGAATATCAGAGCAGATGCAAAAAAAAAGCTTCAGTAAAACTTTATAAATGCTGATTAATTTACTTTCAGTCAGAATCTAGTTATTTCACTAGCTCAATGGAAAACATAAGTGAAAAAAGGTATTTTAATATCTGTTTGACTGAAGTAAGAAACAAAATGCCTGGCTCAGTATAATGTGGTAATTATTTGGTACTTACGGTGGCCTGCAGAGGCCTGGAAGCACAGACACACTGAGAACAGGAGGAGAGCGATGTACACGATCCTTGTAGACATTTTGACCAATGCGCTGTCTGGTTGTCTGATCAGGATGCAACTGCACAAGTGGAAGGATGTTTGGGTTTTTATTGGTAAGCGGAGAATGATAATCTTCCTCAGAACAGGATGAAATTCATCACAGGAGGCATAAAAGTTTAGTTTCCTAATTTCCTTTAGTTTTCACTTGCTTCTTTCCGATCAACTCCCACGGGAAGAAATTAAATACTATTGCGAAACAGACTAAATTTATGAACTTCACTGTCGTAATCATCCCTTCTTCTCTATTTGCAGCGTCTGTATTAGTCAATATACCAGTTAATTTCAACTGTGAGACTTATGAGAAATTAAGCAACATGACTTGACTTCTAAGAAGGCCAAGGTCAGCAAAATATTTTATTTTTGATTTAAACATTTATTGAGAAAACAAACCAAAAAAACCGCCATGGTTTGGGATAGAAAATATGTTTATTGCTTCATATTACACTTTGTTTTTTCATTATTTAGTTTGATCTCAGTTGCAAGCATTGAGGTATGAACATTCAGGCTGATTGTTGCAGCACGATATGTGAGTGAAGTTGCAGGTTTTCAAAAAGTAGAAGGAAAATGTTTCCATCAGAGGCGGCGATGCTTCACAGCTTTGTCATATTGGCGATGACTAGAGAGAGAGAGAGAGACATCAGTGTGTGTGTGTGTGTGTTTGTGTGTGTGTGTGTTGATACAACTTACTTGTCTTCACCCATTCATTCTCGGGATCAACACAGACCAGTCCTCTGTGTGTGGTCAAACTGAAAAAATAATTAAATAGAGTGATGAGGATTGTTCTACGCGTGTATGTTTGAGTGTTGGGCAACATGTATAAACTTACATTATAGCCTCCACACAGGGAGGGTCAGCAGATTGTTTTCTATACGTGTTTTCAATCACCATCTTGGTGATATTACGAGTGGTGACCTCAATGCAGCATGGAGGACGAACTGAATCTTTAAAAAAAGGGCACCCTGAGAAGAACAGAGAACATGAGAGATGGATAGAGCATATTTATTTGTAGTAGAAAGATGTTTTTGAACTAGAATCCTGTTCGACTGTATCTATATACATGTATGTATGTATTCTGGAAAACAGCTGAAATCCCTTTGATGGTTCATAAGTCAGTGAACATAAGTCAGCCTTTTAAATAATCTGATACAGCGAGAGCAGGTTGGGCTTTTCCTGTTCCTCACTCTGTTACACTTCTTACACTGTGAAATGAAATAGAGTCATTGTGATCACATTAAACTATAGTGAGTTCAAACTAATATATGTGGTAGGGATGTCGCGATACCAGTACCAGTGAAATTCCATGATTCTTTATACCAATTAGATACCACAGTAAATATGTCCCAATCAATGCTTCAGTAAAACATTATAAATGCTGATTCATGTACTTTCAGTCAGAATCTAGTTATTTCATGGCAAAAGCATGTTGAATTGAGCAGAAAGGAGTTTACAGGAAGACTGACAGGCGATAAAGTAAGACACAGTAAGCCTGACTCGTTAAAATTGGGAAAATGTGTGTGGTAAGTATCACTGTCACTAACTAAACACATTATGTTATCCATTAATTCCTCTATTCAGTAAATTATTCAGTAAGCCTGAAAACGTAAAGGTTCATAGGTTTCTTTTTGCAATATATCCTATATGAAATGGCTACAGTAAGTACACCAGACACTAAATACGCTAATGATAATAAACATAACACACATAGAGGCCGACACGAAAGGAGATCGAGTTGGAAGACAAATAGACTCGCTACATCGAGGTTGTGCAAAATAAAGCAGGAAGACAATAATGTAGGTCCAGCTCAATGGTGAAGCATGATTTAATATCTGTTTGACTGAAGTAGGAAATGGAATCTCTGGCTCAGTGTAATGTGGTTGTTATTTGGTACTTACAGTAGCCTGCAGAGGCCTGGAAGCACAGACACACTGAGAACAGGAGGAGAGTGATGGACAGGATCCTCGTAGACATTTTGACCAATGCGCTGTCTGGTTGTCTGGTTGTTTGGTTGTCTGGTTGACTGGTTGTCTGATCAGGCTGCAACTACACAATCTGAAGGACGTTTGGATATTTATTGGTAAGCGCAGAATGATAATCTTGGGGTGGGTTTGGTTGTGTGAGGTATTGATGACGTGCTTCATGGTACTATCACAATCCGCCCCTCATTACAGATATAGATATCGATATAGAACCCAACAAATGTCACATCAACATGATTTTATTAGCTTGAAAATATAATTTGAGGATCAGACAAGATACTGACAAGCTTACTGCTAGAGGTGGGTGATAGGGCCCTACAATAATAATAATAATAATAATAAATATTTATTTAAAAATATTTTTGTTGGTCACTGATCCTATTGGCCGATATTTGCTTTAATTAGTTTGATCTGTGTCTCTATAAACTTAGATCAGAGGAGCCGATCGGCTGACACATTTATTTTAACCCACAGGAAAGTTATTCAGTGTTTGACACACATAGATTCACTCAGCCAGGCAGCCAGTATATTAACAGTCAGGGGCTCGTTTTAGTATTTTGCACAGAAACAGAGAGAGATGTTATGTGGTGGATGTTTAACAAGCACGGAGGAGTTAAATCAACAGTTTCATGTTCGATGTGCGACACCATTAACAAGCATGATGCTGAATTGGTGAAAACATTTGAAACTTGAGTTGTGTTTCTTGGGCACCTTTTATGAAACTTACTGCTGCCTAACAAAGTGAATGGAGCAGACACATACAGCTTGTATGATACTTGGAGCAGAAAGAGGCGGTGTAGGTTCCACTGGTTCCTGCAGGACCCGAGGTTTGCTGTATGTTGGGTCAGACACTGTTTGACAATCAGACAAGCTCTTTATTTGATGCATACTGAAGCAGAAGAACACTACTATACCATGTTAGAGAGCTAGAGTTGTATAGCAAGGCCACACATGACCTGTGCCTTATATACCTGAGAAACCTTATATACCTGTGAAATCTTATATACCTGTGAAACCCTATATACCTGTGAAAATAAGTGCTCACATAGAGTCAAGTTTGCTCCTAACTTAATGTGGTGTAAACTCATTCACACATTCATCTGTGTGTGGTTTTTTGGGGAAGGTAAAGTGCTACCTGGTCTAAGTAGAAGACTGAAATGGAAAATGAATGACAAGATTGCGATAACATAAAACAAAGATGTTTTTCTCTACAACACTTTCAGCCTTTTGGTAAACAGTCTAACACATAAACACTGGACGCAGGATCACATGTGCAACATTATTTTCTGACCAATGTCACGGTTGGACAGCAGCTCTTTTAGACAAAAGTTATCACAAGCATTTAAATAACCAAATAAACTAATACACATTTTCTCAGAATAATTCAATAGATTTAACAGTTTCCTTTAAAATACATAGAATAAAAACATCAAACTGAGCATAACATTGTTTACAATGACTTGTGAACAATGATAAATACACTTGGTAATGAACACATGAATTTTTCAGTCCATAATCATTAACTTAATCAATAACTAATCTGGATGTGTAAACATCTCATTTTGTTTTTTACATTTGCTTCACACCTGTAACAGCCACTAGATGGCACTAAAGTTTAGTTTAAAAATGTCAATGCTTTAGAATTTCCTATCACCACAGGTAAATTTAAAAGCACAGTACAATATTATTCATATATATGTAACATACAGATATATTCCCTTAATAGGATATGCAACAGACAGCAGTGACAATGTATTTTACAAACACAGCTTCTGGAGATAAGAATATGTTGAGATGCAAATAGTTCTTCTTAATGTCTGCCACCAGGTTGGATTCAGTCAGATTCCCCTTGGAATTAATTAAATGAGGCGATGCAAAACACTACTAACACGCTACTAAAATAATTAAAGGAAGAAAAGCGGAGTGAATCACAGCCAGCAAGATAATGGCGACCAGCGCACTTTTCAACATGGTTCCATTGTTTGACATTATCAAAAGAGATTAGATTAAATGTATGTGTACTGAATGAAGTAATCTCTGATGGTCTTTCTTCTCGGTTCCTCTCCAGAGAGCTCGGTGAACTGACGGCCGTCTGGAGACATCGGGCACTCAAGGCCTCAAAAAGCAGAAGTGGTCCCTCCGGTTAGTTTTCTTTTCCCCTTCCTCTCTGTTCATCTGAATGAATGACCCACTGATTTACGTTGATTTCCATGAAGTCACTGTAGTGTTTCATTTGGAAATTGAAGTCATAGTTTTTCCTGATTATCTGATTGCATTGGGGTTTCAACAAAAACTGAACATTATAACTTTCATGAAGGAATGATCTATTGCAGAACTTTTGTATTAGACTGCATTAAGTTTAGCTAGATTGACCTAATCGACTGGCAACTGAGTGTATAAACATCCACCCACCTCTAACAGCCACTAGATGGCACTACAGTCCAGTGCTTGAGATGTGTGTGTTAGTCTAAATGTGCAGTGTGTTGTGGTAGTTCTTGAACAGCAGCAGGAACATTTTTGCTCAGACAAGCCGTGATGCTTCACATCTGCACAGCTGTCGTTATTGAAATGACTAGAGAGCAGAAAGAATAAGTCATTGTATCAGTGCAGAGAACAAGTCTGTCTCATTTATTGATAGAGCAACAGGACATAATAGTTTACAGAGAAAGATGTTGAGAGATAAACATTTTCTGGTTATCCTTACATGCTTTAGCAGTGCTGTTACAGAGACCCACATCAAAAAAGCTCATTTACAAGATAAAACTGGTGACATTTAATATTTTTGCATAATCCCATTAAAAGTACAAAACCAACTTACGGACTAAGTTCTCTCAATACTATCTGACTCCCCTTCCCGATCTGTGGCCCACTGGTTCATACTGAAATATTTAAGGTCACTGTTCTCCTCTACTGTTGCTCATGCAGGTCAGTGTAGTTGCTGATATCAAGGTTTTGTTTTTCAGACTCTAAAGAAGTTAATTGCTCAATAAAAAAACACTTCCTCAGAGCAGGATGAGATTCATCACAGTAAGCATCAAATTTCAGTTTTATCCTCGTTTCATTGAGTCTTTGCTCAACTGAAACCCACAGTGAGAAATTAAAAACCCCTCCGAAACTTTTAAACTTATAAACTTTGCTGTCGTAATGATCTCTTCTTCTTTATTGACCTCTAAGAAGGCCATGATCAGCAAAATATCTTGTTGTTGATTTAAACATATATTTGAGCTCAGTTGCAAGCATTGAGAAATGAACATTCAGGGGGATTGTTGCGGCACGATATGTGAGTGAAGTTGCAGGTTTTCAAACAGCAAAAGGAAAATGTTTCCATCAGAGAGGCGGCGATGCTTCACAGCGCTGTCATATTGGCGGTGACTAGAGAGAGAGAGAGAGAGAGAGAGAGAGAGAGAGAGAGAGAGAGAGACATCAGTGTTTCTGTGCATATACCATGTGTGTGTGTGTGTGTGTTTGTGTGTGTGTGTGTGTGTTGATACAACTTACTTGTCTTCACCCATTCATTCTCGGGATCAACACAGACCAGTCCTCTGTGTGTGGTCAAACTGAAAAAATAATTAAATAGAGTGATGAGGATTGTTCCACGTGTGTATGTTTGAGTGTTGGGCGACATGTATAAACTTACATTATAGCCTTCACACAGGGACCATAAGCAGATTGCTTTTTATATGTGTTCCCAGTCACGGCATTGGTGATATTTTCAGTGGTGAACTTCGTGCAGCATGGAGGAGGTCTGCCAGCCATGCGCCCTGAGAAGAACAGAAAACATGAGAGATGGATAGAGCATATTTATTTGTAGTAGAAAGAAGATTTAGAATTTTGGATTCTTGATACCCACTTCGATACCACAGTCATATGTCCTGATGACGTTTTTCAGGCCCAGATCCCCATTTAATATTGAAGAGTCCTGATCAATACTGGTATTTTCCTTTATAATACAGGTCTGCATTGCATTAAGAACAACATTACCTGCATCCAAACAATTTTTCATACCTAAATAACAAAGTTGTATGTTTTGCGTGGATTATATTAATAAATTACTCTTTTAGATTTTTGTTTGTTGCACATTTGTTGCAGTTGCATATCCTTGGTGAGCATGCGGCTCACTACCGCTGTCTGTCTCGCCAGGAGCTCAGTCCCCCCAGCCTTGCACAGACACACACATCAGAGTGGAGACAGACTGTGGAGCACTATCCACGAAAACTTTGTACGGCAAGTATTTTTATCAAACAAAACACATTATTGTATCCATTCATTCCTCTATTAAGTCAGTTATTCTGAATATGTGTTGTCCATTAAATGACCTGTAATTTATACTTTAAATTCTACATTTTCTTGGGAAAATAGATTAACATCTGCAGCTTTTACCCTTCTTCAAAATTTGCAAAATATCCTATATGAAATGACTACAATAAGTACACCAGACACTAAATACGGTAATGATACTAAACATAACACACATAGAGGCCGACATGAAAGGAGATCGAGTCGGAAGACAAATAGACTCGCTACATCGAGGTTGTGCAAAACAAAGCAGGAAGACAATAATGTAGGTCCAGCTCAATGGTGAAACATGATTAATTATAAAAAAGGTATTTTAATATCTGTTTGACTGAAGTAAGAAACAAAATGCCTGGCTCAGTATAATGTGGTAATTATTTGGTACTTACGGTGGCCTGCAGAGGCCTGGAAGCACAGACACACTGACAACAGGAGGAGAGCGATGGACAGGATCCTCGTAGACATTCTGACCAATGCGCAAGCTGAAGGACGTTTGGATATTTATATGTAAGTGCAGAGTGAAGATCTTGGGGTGGGTTTGGTTGTGTGCGGGGTTGATGATGTGCTTCTGTGTGTATTTGTGTATGTGTGTGTCTATATACTGTGTTTGTGCATTTACGTGTCCTGTGGTCATGATACTATCACACCTCTTTATGCGACTTCAAACACCCAGCATCTCATCTTTCTGAGAAACATCCTCACATGTGTCTTCTCACACAAACAAACAAACACACCCACACCCACACACACACACACACACACACACACACACACACACACACACACTTATAAAGTATACACAGGCAAACAGAGGTGTGCACAATCTGCTCTGGAGGTAATGAATTTTATTTCGCTCTATAATTAACATCAGACATAAAGTTTTAGCACAGTCACTTCTTTCTTCTAGCAAAGGTTTAATGGTGTCATGTATATATCAAAAGGTTGGCAAACCAAAGTGAATGTATCCATGGCTAGAGAGAAAGAGACATAAGTGGTAAAATATAATCTGCTGCTTTATGATTTGGATATACTTGGTTGAGCTTGAACCAGGGACAGTAAATAGCTGGTGGTGGACTCGACTAATGTGGCCTGAGCACACCACTGGGTGCACATAGATAGATGTCATGGCCTTGCAAGACATGAATAAATAATCTAGTGGAAACAACACAATAATTTAGCTAAATAATAGAAACATTTATCAGAACACAAGAGATAGGAGATAACACATTAAATTATGCTAATAAACAGTTTTATTAATGAGGCAAAATAAATAAGGTAAAAACCCCTCTGAACACAAGACTGTTCCAGCCACGTCATCAAGACTATCTGAGCATCTCTGCCCTTGAATTTACTGTGATGGACTTTCTAGCCCTTCAGCTTCCTCTTTATGAGAAAAACAAGCACCAGGAAGATTACTGGGAAGCGGCACAAGGCCCTCAATGACTGACCCAAACCTAGTATTCACTGGCATGAAAGAGGAAAATCTGCTCTCGTTTCAGTGGCCTGTTACCACATCCTCCCCTCTGCCCGCTGCATTTCTCACTCAAATGACAAGAGGCAGCAACTTGTCACTTCCTAGTTTAAGAGAGGGGCCTGTGAGTCATGTGATTTACAATACAGAGAGAAAACATGCTTTGGCTGTGACTCAGCAAACTGATGTCAGCACAGAGAAACAGCCCACCACTAGACAAGTCATATATATAGTATAAGTGTGGGATAATTCCGGTGATTAATGTAAAGTTAATAAGTAAGTTAAGCTGTGTCCGCTACTACTGTACATAAATCAGTAAAACAAATCAGGCAGGATACTGACAAGCTTACCGGTAAGGATGGGTGATGTGGCCCTAAAGTAATATAACATATTAGAGTGTACAATATCAAAAATAAAATAACAGAATAGTAAAAATAATTTTACTTTTTCCTTTCCTAATTTCCTTTTCATACTTGTGTTTGTGCTTGAGGTGAAATTCTTTAGTCGTATTCCCCTTTTTTGTTGTTTTAGCTTTCTCGCCTTTTTTACATTTCACTTTGGTTTGTTGTACATCGGATCTTTTGTAACCAAACCACTTCCCTTTTCTGCAACAAACTCCGAGGAGCAATGTAGAAGTGACTTTGGCTTTTGTTGCTGTGTGTAATGGTATGATGTCATTATGTCAACAAGTCAATATAAGGTGTAATACTATTTACCACCCAAACACTGAAGCAACAGGAACATTTTATTTGTTTGTTATGCAACAAAATAGTGCAACCAGTATCTGGTACAGAGTTAAGTTGAATGGGAAGATCATTTTGACAGTTTGCTGTATGTTGGGTCAGACGCTGTTTGACAATCCGACAGACACTTTATTTGAAGCGTACTGATGCTTTTTGAAACTTGTGTAAGCCATCAGACAATGCCATAAGCATCACATAGTTATTTGATTGAGGGTCTAAACACAGTACAGCAGCCCAAAATATCATTAATGACCTGTTATGACCTATGGAAATCACTAATTTACAGTGTATTTGTGCAGTTGTTTGACTACAAGCAGAGAGACTTGTCAGTGACAGCACCTTTATTGTTGCACTGACTGTTATGTCGGACAACTTTGCTCCGTACTTGGGCACTTGTTTATGTCTGTGGTGGAGGTAAACTAACTGGTGTGAACAGAAGACTGTGATTGTGAGATGATAAAATGAACTGTGTGCATGTGCGTGCTCATGGTGGAAACTTTTGGCCTGCACTATTTTAAGTGTCCTGAGATCATTTTTGTTATGATTTATCGCTATGCAAACAAACTTGCATTTAATTGAATTTAAATAATTTTTTGAAGATAAAAAAGTTAAATGTGTTCAATTTTCCAACCATTAGCCACAGCTGCCACATAGCATCTTTCATTATCTTTATCTGGATAAAGCTCTACAGTCCGAAAGAGGTCAGATAAGATGAAGATAAACAGTCAAACACATAAACACTGGATGCAGGATCACATGTGCAACATTTATTTCTGACCAATGTTTTTACAGTTGCACAACATCTGTTTTTGAAAGCTTTCAAATAAATAAATGAATAAATATCTCTAAACATTTTCTCAGAATAATTTCATAAATTTAAGAGTTGACTTTAAGATGCATAGTTATAATAAAAACACCCCATTGAGCATAAATACACTTGGTAATAAATACATGAGTACATCTATCAGCTCTGGTCCATTAAATTAAACTAATAAATTATTTTACTCATTGAGAGTAGGCATCAAAATAAAATAAATACTAAACATGAATTAATAATTAAACATAATGAGGTTCTTCAGGTTCTAAATCAAACATGAGTTATTATCATTGAGAGGCCATAATCGATAGCTTCTTCTTCTTCTGACAAACTCAGTCTTTGTTTTCATTGGCCGGAGGTAGTGAAGATGCGGGCCTACTCGTCGTCCGTCTCTGAAAAGGTTTCACCAGCAGGCATCTCGGATGTGGAGATGAAGGATGGAAGAGAGGATGAAGGAGGAGTTGAGGAGGAAGGAGGAGAGGCAGTGGATGTGATGATGGAGAGGAGGGAGACAGTAGACGAGGGGACCACAGATGAAGTGGTGGCCTGAGCTTTTGCTTTCCTGTAAGAAAGATAAAAAACAAAAAGATATGAGACCACAAGTTTGGGATTGAAGGATTAAATAAATGAGAAAAGGCCACATGACCATGTGAGTGTGTGTGTGAGTTAATCAACAGTCATAAGAAACTCACAAGAATGCCTGAACCTTGCGGCGAACCCACTGGGCTTTCACTGGAGTGCAGAAAAGACCTTTTTCTGTTTGAAGGCTGCAAAAATGACAAACAAATGCAACGTAAGTACTTTCCAGACACTGACCTGATTTGGTATATAGGACCAACTTGAGACTGCCTTTAGGTACAGAGAGTCTTAAATATACTGATTCCAACTCGTTTATTTAACTTGTACATACATCATTGCTCGTCTTACTTACATGACAGCTGGGACACATGGAAGGTTGCCTCTCTGAAGCATGTATCCGGTGATTGGCTCTGTTATCTCCTTTATGTTGACTTTCTTACAGCAGGTAGCCAGCTTCTCATCTAAAGATGGATAAACAGATGAGGGTTAATTAAAGAAAAGAAAATAATTTTACAAGCAATATGTAAGATCGTGCACCTTGTTTATATCAATCGTAATCTTACCTGCTGATCCAGAGTGAATTACAGCCATCAGGACAACAGCGACCAGCGCACTCTTCAAAAGGGTTCCACAGTTTGCCATTTTCAGACGAGATAAATCTACAAATATTAGATTAAATGGATAAATGCTGAGTAATGTCTGATTGTCTTTCTTCTCTATTCCTCTCCAGAGAGCTTGGTGAACTGACGGTGGTCTGAAAACATCGGATATTTAAGCGCCTAGAAAAAGCAGAAGTAGTGCCTCTGGTTAGTCATCTTTTCCATCCTCTCTCTTTATCTTAATGAATGACATGCTGATCTTTGGGGGTTTCCATGAAATGACCGACAGGAAGCACTTTCATCATAGTTTCGTTTGGAAAATTTAAACTGGGTGTTTTTTACCTCATTATCTAATTTGGGGGGTGTTAGGAATTCCTCACAGACCAGGGTTAATCGTTTATCAGTACATATAAGTATTAAAGAAACAAACATGAATAAATCCACAAACACTGTTGAGTGTAAATCTTTATTTAGATTTTGAGTCAAATCAGTGATGAATAAAGATCTATTTTTGAAGATGATACTATCCTCATTATCAAGGAGTCACCTCTGTGGTATTTATGTCATAAATAATGTGGTAATATAACTGCACTCCAACGCAGTGACACACGGACATGTCACAACATAGTTCCACCCGTATGTATTATACTGTACAGCGCCAGAGTCGGGCTGCATACAAAATCGTTTAATATTAACTGTATAGTCCATTAGAGACTGTGTTCACCATTTTGTACTGAAAATCTCAGTTTGTAGTTTCTTACAGAACGTACCGTATACAGAGAGTCGAGGCAGATTGTCCCACAGCACAAAAGTAGTGAACAAGCAATGGTCCCCAATTAAGAGTAAACTACTGTCATCCACTGAACAGTTCTTATTCATTTACTGTATTCAGTGAAAAACTGATGTACACTTTACAGTATTGAGTAAGTTTTATAGTCAGTGGTGAGTATTTAGTTCAAACTATTTGAGTCATCACTAGAATGAAAATTAGAAGTGAAATCTGAAGCTGTTTTAGCAGCCTGAATCTTTGCCGGTGAGTAATTTCAATAGTTTGCCTCCACTGAATGACATTTAACACAAAATAACACATAAAAAACCTAAACACCTAGATGTGATTTGGTCCTTGAAATCACTGAATCACTTCTTACTGGGCTTTTGCAGTCATTTAATCAATGTTACTGCCTTGTTGGGAGTCTCATATACACACTAATGTACAAACGCCATTTGATTGTCAAACAGAGTTGTGACAAGCTTACTGCCCACATTGAAACACTGAAACAGGAAAATTGCTAAATTTCTTCCTCTTCTGCTTTTGATTCACACTCAACAAAATGTTGCACTACAGCCATTATCTGGTACAGAGTTGAGTTGAATGGGTAGATCAGTTAAGGTCGAGGTATGCTTGAAACAAACTACCAGTTTTGTCCAATCACATCTAAAGGTGACAGTATTTGTACCTGTTCCAAATAGCCACCCTTAAAGACAGGGCAAAAGGCCGGCTGGCATAGGGAGGGGCAATACATGATAAAATTGTACATTTGGGGATAATGGAGCACACTTTTGAACAATCTCTCCTCAAAGGCATGGTGGTGTTGTGTCCGACAAGCACTTTAAAAGAGATTTAAAACGTTTTTAAAGTATAACTAAACCTCTAAATGCTCCCTCCCTCCCAACAACTTAAAATAATGCAGCACAGCAGAAGCCTATAGGGGGCGTGGCCTTGTGGCTACAGTGTGTCATGTGGGAGGTAACAGAGAGACAATTATTATTTTTAGATTAAATTTGATTCAACTTTATTGTCATTATACAAGTACTAGACAATAAGATGCAGTGAGGCATCTAACCAGAAGTGCAAAGCAGTAAAGTGCAGAGTAATGTGCATGTAAAGGGATATATTAAAAATAATAACATTATAGATATATATATGAATATCCTAGCAGGATATTTACACTATGAACAGCATTAACTGAATGAACAGAGTGAGGTGATTACACTAAGATATATACAGCTATTAAGTTAAGATATTTACATTATGAACAGATTAACAGTAAATTATAATGACAACACTTTGACTGTACTTGACTTGTACTGACACATAGGTGCTCACAGAGAGTCAGATGGGAGACGTTTGCTTCTTAATTTGGCATCTATAGGCTCATTTGTACTGCACCATTTCAAATCGCAATGTGGCCAAGGGCAATATCCAAATTTTTTGATAAAGGTAACATGTGACAAAACAACATTCATATCATATTGCAATTGTAATATCAGTTAGAATACTTGCAATGTAATAGTTATAATGTTATAATATAATGTGGTTTTGTCACACATTTTACCTTAAACTTGTCCATATCGCAACTTCAATAATATTTTGATTGATTGTGCTGCCCTAGCTTATAGCCATTTGGTTTTGTATATCAGAGTCAGATAAGATGAAGATAAACAGTCAAACTCATAAACACTGGATGCAGGATCACATGTGCAACATTTATTTCTGACCAATGTTTTAACGGGCGTACAATTTCTTCTTTAGATAAAAGTCATCACAAGCTTTCAAATAAATAAATATCTTAAAACAGTTTCATATATTTAAGAGCTGACTTTAAAATGTCTAATGATAATAATAATAAAAACATTACACTGATCATAAAGTTGTATCCAGTAACTTGTAAACATTCATAAATACACTTGGTTAGATTAAACTAATAAATAATGTCACTCAAAAGACATTGAAAGAAACTAAATATTCAACATAAAGTCATATATTGACATAATTATGTTATTCAAGTACTATTTCAAACATTACTTTGTTTCAGTCCATAAACGTTAACTTTCTGACAAACTCGGTGTTTTCATTGGCCGGAGGTAGTGAAGATGCGGCTCTACTCGTCGTCCGTTTCTGAAAAGGTTTCATCAGCAGGCATCTCGGATGTGGAGAGAGAGGATGGAAGAGAGGATGAGGAAGGAGAAGAGGCAGTGGATGTGATGATGGAGAGGAGGGAGACAGTAGACGAGGGGACCACAGATGAAGTGGTGGCCTGAGCTTTTGCTTTCCTGTAAGAAAGATAAAAAACAAAAGATATGAGACCACAAGTTTGGGATTGAAGAATTTAATAAATGAGAAATGGCCACATGACCATGTGAGTGTGTGTGAGTAAATCAACAGTCATAAGAAACTCACTCGAATGCAACAACCTTGCGGCGAACCCACTCGGCTCTCACTGGACTGCAGAAGAGACCTTTTTCTGTTTGGAGGCTGCATGAATGACAAACAAATGCAACATGAGTGTCTTAAATCTAATGGTTCGTAATGTGCTGTAGATAGTATACAAATAAATACATAATACAAGAAATAATACAAAGAAAGTTGAAAAGACACAGACACAGCATTGCTCGTCTTACTTACATGATAGCTGGGACACATTCACGGTTAGGTTTCTGGATCATGTATCCGGTGATTGGTTCTGTTATCTCCAGTTTGTTGACTTTCTTACAGCAGGAAGCCAGTTTCCAATCTAAAGATGGATAAACAGAGAGTTAATTTAAAAAGGAAATCATTTTAAAGGACTCACAGGAAGAAAAGCAGCTCTTGTACCTTGTTTATCTAGATGGTAATCTTACCTGCTGATCCAGAGTGAATCACAGCCATCAGGACAATAGCGACCAGCGCACTCTTCATCAGGGTTCCACAGTTTGCCATTTTCAAAAGAGGATGATAGATATTAGATTAAATTGATAATTACTGAATAAAGTAATCTCTGATGGTCTTTCTTCTCCGTTCCTCTCCAGAGAGTGACTGACTGACAGCCGTCTGGAGACGTTGGCTACTTAAGGCCTCAAAAAGCAGAAACGGTCCCTCCGGTTAGTCATTTCCTTTCTCTCTGTTCATCTGAATGAATGACTTGTGGATTTACGCAGACTTCGATGAAATGACCGACAGGAAGCACTTTCATCATCGTATTTCGTTTCGGAAATTTAAGTCACGTTTTTTATCTGATCGCAGGGGTGATGGGAATCCCTAACAGGCCGGAGGTCATCTTTCATCTATACATTTTGAAAGCATTAACAAACATCAACGTTCTGAATAAATCAGCAAACTTAATGCCAACTGCTCACTGCTCTTCCTCATTTGAAGACAATGAAAATGACCAACAATGGCTACCTTTTTTCAAAGTGATAATAATCTCATTAGGAAGTCACTTTCATGCATTTGTCAGAAGGAATTTGGTAAGGATTTTGGGCAGGACTTGCTACAGCATGCGTTCACAGCCCAATGACACACAGACATGTCACAACATGGTCTTGTGACCTGCCACCCAGTTGTTCCTTTACTGATCCCCCGTGTGAGAAATTTGAGTTTGACACAGCAGCACAGGGGAAATGTAGTGAAAAAGTACAGAAGTGTAAAAAATACGAATATTATAAAGATATAATAGAAAATATAAAGACTATAATAAAGGTATACACACTAGCCTATATGCAGTAATATACTAAACAGCACCAGAGTCGGGCTGCATATAGATTGCTTCACTATTGACTAAATAGTCCATTTGTCCATTTGCGTTCACCATTTTGTAGTGAAAATCTCTGTTAGTGAATGTACTGTATACAGAGAGTGGAGTCCGATAATCCCACAGCACAAAAGTACTGAACAAACACTGGACCCTTATTAAGAGTTAGCTACTGTCATGCACTGAACAATGTCTTCATTTCCTGTTGTTTTGTCACTAGAATGAAAGTTAAAATTAAAATCAAAAACTGTTTTAATCAGCCAAGATCTTTAACAGTGACTCATTTCAGTAGCATTTCATTTAACACAAATAACATTTCTAGAAAAGTAATTAAATTTATGCTTACCCAAACATCTAGACGTGTTTTGGTCCTTAAAAATCACTGAATCAGTTCTTACTGGGCTTTTGCAGTCATCTAAGCGCTTCATCAATTCTACTGCTAAGTAGGGACTTACAGGACTTACACTACTACACTACTACACTACTGTACATGAACTTGAAAACAACATTTGAGTGTCAAACAGAGTTTTGACAAGCTCACAACCCACAAAAAAAATTGAAATCAGCAGAAAAAAAATGGCAACATTTTCTATTGTCTGACAGAGTTGGGTTGAATGGGTAGATCATTTTGAAAAATATTACTAATACTGACCATAGTCTCTTCAAGTTAAGGCCAAGATATGCTTGAAACAAACTAAGTACTCCTTTTCAATTCAATTCAATTCAATTCAATTTTATTTGTATAGCGCCAATTCATAACAGAAGTTATCTCAGGACACTTTTCAAATAGAGCAGGTCTAGACCGAACTCTTTAAAACATTAATTACAGAGACCCAACAGTACCACCATGAGCAAGCACTTGGCGACAAGGGCAAGGAAAAAATGCCTGTTAAAAGGCAGAAACCTAGGACATATCCTCCTCTAGGTGGGTGGTCGTCTGTCTCGACCAGTTGGGGTGAGAGAGAGAGAGAGAGGCAGAGAGAGAGAGAGAGCGAGAGACAGACAGACAGGTGCACAGCAACAACAGTATTGGCAATGGCAATCTAGCAGGACCATGGCAGGAGGCTCCACCAGGATTGACAAGAACCTGCGAGACGAGAAAGCACAAGAACTCCGGGGAAGAAGTGAAGTTAGTAACATGCATTAATGGGACATGAATGAGTGCAGAAAGAGAGAGGAAGGGAGGAGCTCAGTGCACCATGGGAAATCCCCCGATAGTCTAGGCCTATAGCAGCATAACTAAGGGATGGTTCAGGACTCACCTGATCCAGCCCTAACTATAAGCTTTATCAAAGAGGAATGTCTTAAGGCTACTCTTGAATGTGGACCACAAATGGAAGCTGATTCCACAGGAGAGAAGCTTGGTAACTGAAGGCTCTGGCTCCTGTTCTACTTTTAGAGACTATAGGAACCACAAGTAGCCCAGCATTCAGAGAACGTAGTGTTCTAGTGGGGTAATAGGGTACTATGAGCTCTTTAAGATATGAAGGGGCCTGACCATGAAGAGCTTTATAGGTGAGGAGGAGGATTTTAAATTCTATTCTACATTTTACAGGGAGCCAATGCAGAGAAGCTAGTACAGGAGAGATGTGATCTCTTTTTCTAGTTCCTGTCAGTACTCGTGCTGCAGCGTTCTGAATTAATTGGAGCGTTTTAATGGACTTATTGGGGCAACCTGATAATAAAGAGTTGCAGTAATCCAGCCTTGAAGTAACAAATGCATGGATTAGTTTTTCTGCATCTGTCTGTGATAGTATGTGTCTAATTTTTCTAATATTACGTAAATGAAAGAAGGCAGTCCTAGAGGTCTGCTTCATGTCAGAGTTAAATGACAACTCCTGATCAAAGATAACTCCAAGATTCCTGACAGTGGTGCTAGAGGCCAAGTTAATGCCATCTAGAGTAACTATATCTTTAGACAGTGAGTCTCTAAGGTTTTTGGGGCCAAGAACAAGAATTTCGTTTTTTTCTGAGTTTAACATCAGAAAATGCAGGTCATCCAGGATTTTATGTCCTTAAGACATGTTTGTAATTTAGATAATTGATTAATTTCATCGGGCTTGATCGATAGATATAACTGCGTATCATCTGCATAACAGTGAAAGTTAATGGAGTGATTCCTAATAATGTTGCCTAAAGGGAGCATATATAAAGTAAATAGTATTGGTCCAAGTACAGAACCTTGTGGAACTCCATGACTAACTGTAGTATTTATTGAAGATTCATCGTTAACATGTACAAACTGCGAGCGATCTGATAAATATGACTTAAACCAGCTTAGTGCGGTTCCTTTAATGCCAATTTGATGCTCAAGTCTCTGTAAAAGAATATTATGGTCAATAGTGTCAAATGCAGCACTAAGATCTAATAATACAAGTACAGAGACAAGTCCATTGTCAGAAGCAGTCAGAAGGTCATTATTAACTTTAACCAGAGCTGTCTCTGTGCTATGATGAACCCTAAATCCTGACTGAAAATCCTCAAATAAACTATTGTTATGTAGAAAGTCACACAATTCTTTGGCGACTACTTTCTCCAGAATCTTAGAGAGGAAGGGGAGGTTAGAAATCGGTCTATAGTTGGCTAAAACCCCTGGGTCTTAACATATGTTAAAATCCAATGTGTAACATTTAGGAGAATCTATTGGTGAACATTTAATATAAGATTTATAGGTATGTTTGTCAAGGCTGGTGTTAGGACCGGACCCAGGAGCAGACACCCAGACAGTATGGAAGGTTTAAAGGGGGTTTTATTCCACGCACACACACACACACACAGGGGGGATGAGGGGCGGCCACAGCAGGAACGGGTGGGTGAGATGGCGGAAGAGACCGGAGACACAGAGGCACAGGTGAGCAGACACAGGAAGCCAAACTGCACAAAGGGACCCTGGGGCACGGGAGAGAAATGGTTAACCGGGGGACAGGCACAGGGAAAACACAAGAGGGCTTGAAGTTGCCTAACTAAACACTGAAAAGAGCCACGAGAGTTACCACCACATAGGCTGAAACAATCTGGCGATGAATGGGAGGAAGACCGGGGTTCTTGAAGACTGAGGCATGATGAATGATTGAGAGCAGGTGAGACAGCAGGCAGCAGGTGAGGAGAATGGAGGCCGCACCCTCAGACACACAGGGAAGGGGGAGGAGCAAAGGGAGCAGAGCCATGACAATGTTGTCATTCGTGTATAATCACCTGAAAATAAGAATCATTGTGTTTTTGTTACCTTAGAATAAACCGTTTCTCTACCATGTTAAACTGTCGTGTTTCTACAGTAGCCCAGAACAGACAAACCAAACACTGGTTCTCGACTGGGCCTTGTACACTGTAGTTTCTCTTACATGTTTGGAAGGCTGCGCTGTATTCAGATGGTTGAAGTCTGCAACTTCACTACTAGATGCCATTGAATCCTACACACTGGACCTTTAAGACATATTAAGATATTTACCACTTTTTCAAATGGCCACAGAGTGGGGCTAGACGTGATAAATTGTACTCTGTAGTCCCTTCATATTTCAAAAAGACCTCCATTGATCCTTTCCTTAAAAAGACCAAAGTACTCTGCCTGAACGACTATGTCCCAGCAGCACTCACCTCGACCTTTGAGCGGTTAGTCAAAGCCTTCATCAGCTCTTCCCCCCATGACTCACTGGACCCACTGCAATTTGCTAATAGACCAAACAGGTCAACTCGCCATGCCCTAAAGCATATCCTGGTTCATCGTATATCTTACTCTAAATGGGACCATCATGCTGTATGGAAGAAAACTTGAATCTAGTGATTGAGACAAACTCATTACCATTTACGAGCCATTAGAAAGAACGCATGTTTAAGACACTTCTGCACTGGCTTCAATTCACAGACACAGAATCTTTCTCCACTAATTATATGTTGTCAATGGTTGTACTAAACTTTTAGCCAAAAATAGGCAGGTGGATTGACAGTCACCAGCCTCTAGGTGATCATTGATCAAGTTTATGTTTTTGCAATTATCTGAAAAATGTCTTGGATTAGACTAAAAATTCATTTTCAGTCTCAAATCATCTGCATCTGGTCATCTGTTCCTTTCTGCTCGCAGCTAATTTAGCTTCCTGCTTTTGCATGTCAGAAAGAAATAAGATAAGATAGTCAAACACAAACACTAGATGCAGGACAAGTGCAACATTTATTTTTGACGGATGTTTTTACAGCTGCACAACTTCTCCTTTAGATAAAAAGTTATTACAGGCTTTCAAATAAATAAATATCTTAAAACATTTTCTCAGAGCGATTGAAATCATCAAACCATTTGATCGTAAAGTTGTATACAGTAACATTGATAAATACAATTGGTAATAAATACATGAATACTATCAGCTCTGGTCAGTTAAATTAAACTAATAAATAACGTCACACAAAAAACATTGAAAGAAACTAAATATTGAACATACAACAAGTCATACATTGACATAATTATGTTATTCAAGTGCTATTTCAAACATTACTATAACATTATTGTTTCAGTCCATAATCGGTAACTTCTGACAAACTAGTCATTGGCCGGAGGTAGTGAAGATGCGGGTCTACTCGTCATCCGTTTCTGAAAAGGTTTCACCAGCAGGCATCTCGGATGTGGAGAGGAAGGATGGAAGAAAGGATGAGGATGGAAGAGAGGATGAGGATGGAACAGATGAGGAGGACGGAAGAGATGAGGATGAAGAAGGAGTTGAGGATGAAGGAGGAGTTGAGGAGGATGGAAGAGATGAGGATGAAGAAGGAGTTGAGGAGGAAGGATGAGTTGAGGAGGACAGAATGGATGAGGATGAAGAAGGAGTTGAGGATGAAGGAGGAGTTGAGGAGGACAGAAGAGATGAGGATGAAGAAGGAGTTGAGGATGAAGGAGGAGTTGAGGAGGACAGAATGGATGAGGATGAAGAAGGAGTTGAGGATGAAGGAGGAGTTGAGGAGGACAGAATGGATGAGGATGAAGAAGGAGTTGAGGATGAAGGAGGAGTTGAGGAGGACGGAAGAGATGAGGATGAAGAAGGAGTTGAAGATGAAGGAGGAGTTGAGGAGGACAGAAGAGATGAGGATGAAGAAGGAGTTGAGGATGAAGGAGGAGTTGAGGAGGACGGAAGAGATGAGGATGAAGAAGGAGTTGAAGATGAAGGAGGAGTTGAGGAGGACAGAAGAGATGAGGATGAAGAAGGAGTTGAGGAAGACGGAAGAGATGAGGATGAACGAGGAGAGGCAGTGGATGTGATGATGGAGAGGAGGGAGACAGTAGACGAGGGGACCACAGATGAAGTAGTGGCCTGAGCTTTTGCTTTCCTGTAAGAAAGATAAAAAACAAAAGATATGAGACCACAAGTTTGGGATTGAAGGATTAAATAAATGAGAAATGGCCACATGACCATGTGAGTGTGTGTGTGAGTTAATCAACGGTCATAAGAAACTCACTCGAATGCAACAACCTTGTGGAGAACCCACTCGGCTGTCACTGGACTGCAGAAGAGACCGTTCTCTGTTTGGAGGCTGCATGAATGACAAACAAATGCAACATTAAATCTAATGATTCGTAATGTGCTATAGATAGTATACAAATAAATACATACAAAGACAGTTGAAAAGTTATCAATTAATAAAAACAGTAAAACGTGGGAGAATGTTTTAATCTTTAACAATCATTTTCCAGTTCACACAGCATTGCTCGTCTTACTTACATGACAGCTGGGACACATTCACGGTTAGGTTTCTGGATCATGTATCCGGTGATTGGTTCTGTTATCTCCAGTTTGTTGACTTTCTTACAGCAGGAAGCCAGTTTCCAATCTAAAGATGGATAAAGAAATTAGAGTTAATTTAAAAAGGAAATCATTTTAAATGACTTACAGGAAGAAATGCAGATCTTTTAAATCTTGTACCTTGTTTATCTAGATGGTAATCTTACCTGCTGATCCAGAGTGAATCACAGCCATCAGGACAATAGCGACCAGCGCACTCTTCATCAGGGTTCCACAGTTTGCCATTTTCGAAAGAGGATGATAGATATTAGATTAAATGGATAATTATTGATGGTCTGCTGGTCTTTCTTCTCTGTTCCTCTCCAGAGAACTCGGTGAACTGACGGCCGTCTGGATACATCATATACTTATGGGCTGTAAAAGCAGAAATGGTCCCTAGTCATTTTCCATTCTTTTTTCATTTGCCCTCCTTCCTTCCTCCTTCTGAATTAATGAATGAACCGCTGATTGTCGGGGATTTCCATGATGTGACCGACATCTTACCAACAGGAACCACTTTCATTGCAGCATTTCGCTTGGGAATTTAAGTCACGTTTTTTCCTGATTATCTGATCGCAGGGGCGTTAGGAATCCCTCACAGGCCAGAGGTCACCTTTTATCAATACATTTATTACAATATTAACAAAGACAAAAGCTATGAATTAGTCTGCAAGCACTGTTTGGTGTAAATCTGCCTCATTCCAAGACAATACCTGTATGCGAGACTGCCTACTTTACTAGAGAATTTTTGCGGCGTCAAATCAACTTTGTAGATTTCGAAATATCGTCAGTTTTAAGAATATTGATCATAAATGAACAATGCATTGAAGTCTTTTTGCTTGGCTGAGGTGCAAACGTTGGTTTATGAGATAAAGTGTAATGGAAACAGACTTGGTTAATTAATAATGACAAACATGACATCACTCGTCACTGAAGAGATCTAAAATGACAGCAGACACAAGATCAGATCCGTGTGGACCGTTGAGAATGTAATGTTCGTCAAATGAATACATAAAACAAACATAAATGCAATATTTTAATACTCCTAGACATCAGAATTAGTGCAACCTTGTGGTGCTTTGTTTTAAATTCAGTTACATTTGCATGGAAACTTGACCACTGTCTTATTAGAACATGTGCTACTCTACGGATCTGTTTCTCTTAAGTTGTAACTGAAGGCATGATGCCTCCAACAAGTATCAGAGTTTAAGAGGCCAAAAAGCAGAAATGTTACCTAATGTTCCTTCACTAGACACTTAATACTTAGTTAATACATATTATGTTTCTAGGTGGGAGTCAGTCAACAGGAGGCTCAACCAGGAAACATGTAGCTTTATCAGCCAAAATCAAATGATTAAATAAAGGAGACAAAGGCCTTCACTCTCAGCAGACTTTTAGTTCATTGTGTTCTCGTAAAAACTGAATGTAAAAGTAAAACCATCTGTGGGCACCCTTTTTTCACTAGAAAACAAAACCTATGAGTCTAAGAGCCTTGCTTACCGCTAGAAGCCATGCTGATGTCCAATTTGGTCTTAGTGGTTTAAACCATTTCAAACCTGTGTTTGTAGTCTCAGGGATCCCCTTCTAATAATATTTAGTTATAGTCTATAACTGGCAGATTAACAGTGAACAGTGTTAAACCTATGAACAATGAAATAATAGTTAAATTAAGATATTTCTGAATTTTCTGGGGATCCCTTGGGACGCCCTCATGGACCCACAAACCACAGGCTGAGAGCCAGCTGTCTAACTGGTTGAATGTGCTTTAACGGTTCAGTTCCAGGATATGGACAGTGGGTTTGAGCAGCCTCTATATAGCGCCAGTATCCTCTTGGTCACTCTGCTGACCTTTTCTGATGGTGTGATGTCTCAGTCAGAGGTTAATTTGCAGCTGACAGCACTTCTTGTCATCATCATCATCATCTCTTTAGAAGGTGTTAAGAATACATGAGAAGAGTTTCTGAGAAATAAGTGTTGGTGTGGGATGAGGTGGGTGGTGTTGCACTTACTGAAGCTGATACCGCTGTGGTAAACTAATGTCACAAGCACACCAGCTTGCACACATCATGTTACCATGAAAAAGATAAATAGCCTTATAGGAACATCTTTTATTATTTCCAAAGATTGAGAGTAAACCCCTGCCAAAACCAAAGCAGAACTGTGACGCAGACATGTAAATCAGGCCTGTAGTGGCTTTGAGGATTCTCATTTTAAAAAGATATCCACTCTTTCAACTCTGTATGCTTTTTACAATTTCTGTTCCAATCAGAAGTTGCAATTTGTCCCACCTCTATGCACAGTATTTTGTATTTAACAATTTTACTTGCAGCTAAGCAGACAGAGAAACCGGTTTGGAAGAGATTTACTTTCTTAGTAGCTTGGTGTTGATGCTGAGAAGATAACTTCCTTCCTACTTTGCCCTACTTCACATTCTCAGTTGCAACACATGGGGTGCTTTTCACAGGGCTTTACATGCAGAATGGACCCACAGAGAGTTTCCCACCCTAAAAAAAACTATTTTGGATGGAAAATGTCGCCTGAGCGTCATTTCTCGATCCTAAAGCAAATTTATCTAAAAAATCTTGTATTGTGTAAGCAAAGAGCTGATAGCCGAGGAGGAGTTGCATTTTTCAAATAGTGAAATGATATACCCTTACGTCACTAGGGATGACTCTGACTATTCAAACCTTATCTTATATACAGTTGATGACATATTTCATAACCCGCACCTGGCCTGACCCGTTAATATAATACCTTCCTTTACAGTGTCAAACTGTCAGTGGAAGACTGTTGCAGTTGACGTCTGAGGGGTTCCAACCACACAGTGATCAGGTGAAAGGTCGGGGTTTTGGATGCCTCCAAGGCCTTGGTTGCGTTCTTGAATCGTCCCAGAAATACAACAGTGTCATTCAGAGTCTCCATGCTCTGGTTACTCTAGCGGCTGTCTTCTTCTCGCTCCTCCAAAAGAGTGCAGATGTGCTCATATTGGCTGCTAATAGAGTCCAGCATCGTACATAGTACCGGCGTGTCTCCACGGATCCTTTTAATGTTTTTTTCAGGCGAGTCTGGAGGTTTTTCTGCTTAAAATAACTCACAAGCGACTTAGCAGAGTTGGTAAGAGAAGATACTTATTTGGCAAAGACATCACATTCAGCAGGTTTTTCAACTGCAGTACTGTGTTCTGAACTAATGCTAGTAACAGTGTGAAGGGCTGCAACTATCTTTGCACCAGTTTGCCGAATATCCAATGTCAATCAAGCCCTGTGCCAGTTTACTGAACCCATCACCACACAGAATTTCAAACGATCTTATGTCCTGGCATACAAACTTTTACCACTAACTGGGTTATTGCGTCCTCCCGTTTAGGTGGTTTGCTCTCGCTGCAGCTTTAAATGTGTTTCCTGAGTGAAGACGTGCCAAGCTTACGGCTATCAAAAGCTTGATGTGCTAGATTGTGGCTTAGTTTCTACCCATGTCCATACCTGTGAATTTATATAAATATTATTTTTTAACCACCAACACAACAAATTTGCGGGCCACCAAACCTGGTGTCGCACACTGCAGTGCAATGTCCTTTCTGAGTTTGTCACTTTGAGAGGCCAAGGTACTTGTACTGTATTTATACTTGTTGTATGTATACTACCTTATTTGTAGACTTTTCAAGCTTGTCCTTCCTCTTTTCAAGAGTTTACATCTGCTGCATGAAAGTATGAACCACCTCCTCTTCCCTTTTTTAATCAGTGCTGATTAAATGTCTGTCACTGTCTGGTAGAAAAACCCAAACCCTAAACTGATGCAAACTGACTGCAACTATTAGAGAGACCAATTTAAACCTAAACTTGACCAATTTTACATCAGTATTTTATCTTACCTTATAACATGCATCATTATCAATGAATTATTATCATCAATTCAATTATCATTCCCAGTTCCTATCAGTTATTGCGGGTCGAAAAGACTTTGCAGGAAACATAGCTTATTCATCACCTTAGTTTGTGTGGACGAAAGAGGAAGCATTACAAGCATGTATCACACATTATTATTTCCTTTGCTGTCACATATATTCACACACTTAGCACCTCTCCATAGCTTATGATTCTGAGTTGATGCAAGAAGACTGCCTGTGGGATAAGTGTGAATGGCTGAGGGAGTTCACTTCTGTCCCCACATGCTTGCTCATACATTAAGAAAAGAAAATTATGTACCTTTCATGTCTATGTACCAAGTGGGATGTCGTGGATGTCCAAGATGCATGTTTTATTACAAAAGCATTGCAGTAAACACTAAAATACACTGGAAAACCTGCTGTTCCATCCTGGTTGTGAAACAGGGTTCAAGGATCCCAGGGGAAATCAGTGCTGGGAATTTCATTCGCAACACTTCTTTAGTAAAAACACACCAACTTTATCATGAGCTCAGTGTGTCAGAGTGGTCATGGGAGGGATATTGCCCTTATAATCTAGACGGACCTGTTTCTGTGGAAGCTTATGACCTCAGATATATATAGGAACTAATTGCTAAGTCATTTCCCCCAGTATTCCTAGAGAGCAGTCTTTGCATTCTTTAAAATGACTCAAGCACTTTCTGCATTGGTGTTCAGATCCACCAAGATGGTGTTTTGTCACTGATGCTGTTTATGGTCAGAAGGGGTTAGAGTTTTTAGTGTGTGTGACTCAGGATTGCATTTCTGCTTTTTGCTGGTGATTTACTGTAGATCTGTTGGCCTCTCCATGATCTCCAGCTGCACTGAGCGGGTTTGCTGGTAAGGGTCAAAGTCAGAACCTCCAGTTCTTAAATCATGATAGCCTACATGTCAAGGAGTTTTCAGGGTCAACATGTAGATTGGTGCAGCTTTCACAAAATAATGTAAGCTTTTTCTACCGTCTCATGAGTGGTTAAAATTAATTCTACCTACTGAGAAACATGTTTTTGTTCTTTTGAGCTTTAATAGGTTTAGAGCCTCTGCTGGGTCCAGACAACAAGGTTTCTGAACCATAGTTAGAACATAGAATCTCTCTCTGAGCTGTTGATAGAATCTGGTGTCAAAGTTGAAAAGATAACTTTGCTTTGATCTTTTCAATGAAACCTGATGGAGAGATAGATAGATTCTTTGTTGTCCTTGTTGCCACAGTCTGTACATATTCTCATACACACACACACAACATTAACACAAGATAGACATCTAAACACAGCACAGTTGTACATACATTCAGATATTAACACATAATGGCTACCGGAGAGTTTTGTTGAATAAAGGTAAGGCAGAAGGGACAAAACGTCTGCCATAGTGAGCTCATTTATAGGCCAGTGATCTGTTCTGATCGTGGTTACCACTTTAACATCAAATTGCACAGAAGT